ACAAATGATTGGGCACTACCGAGAATTACTTCATTAAATCACAGGCCACACTCAGAATAATCAAGTTGAAATTCCGATCAAAGTTGGCGTGTCCAAGGTTAGACGATGAGAAGTCAGGATGCACCAAGGACCAACCCGCAGACGACACGATCTTATGACGTCATTACTGATCAACAAGCGTAAACACAGTCTGTTTCCTGGAATATGACGTCACTGAGTGAATATAGCAAGCTGCGGTGGAGACGTTTCGGCTGGTAGGCGTAAATATCGTGTAGATGAAAGGAGTAGTAGATGGTCTGAGTATTTGGCGGCGCAGATTTCTCTATCCAATGATTTTTTTTTTCATGTCGCGGGTAACAATTGACTCGTACCGCGCAGTGGTGCGCACATGGACTGAAGGGAATCTACGGATCAGACAGGTAAGGAGATACAGAAGGAGTGACTCTGAAGTGGTCGATAGATATTGAAACCGGAATTACACAAGGAGGAAAAGATCTAAGGATGGATGCTAGCCGAAGAGGAGGTATGTTGCAACACTTTCATGTGTTTTTGACTCTGTTGATACGTCTAAGTCTTCTAGGATTGGACTGTCTCACGTTACGGAGTAAGTAAGTAAATATGTTAGGCAGATATCAGAACAAAGAACGCCATAAGACGCCCAAGCTGAGAGGTGAGTCAGAGAGACAGGACGAGGGAGAACTCCGCCGAAGGTGAGTGACAAAATACGAAGGTGATAGATTGAGGCGAAGGGGTAATTCCGCCAGGATGAGGTGAGGTAAGTCCACCGTCGGAAAGGATCGCAGCATGTATCACTCATGACGCTAACGCGCTTGAACACACATCTGCAGGACAGGATTCCACGGCGTCGGATAAAATTGTAGGATAGATTCAGTCATGGAGTCTTCGAGTCACACCGGTCAATGATTCAAAGGCGCCACTTGCGGGTGCCATGACTGCATGAGAGTACGGAGTAGGTACCTGTCTATGAGCCCAGTGAGACTGCGGTCGCCGGGCAGCAGGATTGTGTCCACCGGTTCGTTAGGTGAAAACGCGTAAGACGGTCTCTCACAGAAGGGCTGCAAGGGTCAGTAACCAACGTCCGGCCGCGGGGTTTTAGTAGGGAAACAGAGATGTGCCGTGAGCGGCAGAGGTTGACGGACCAATCATAAGCCACTGAGGAACGCTAATAACTGACGCTACCCGCGTCGATCTTTAGACAAGTAATCGGGGTCAAATGATGTAGGTGTTCGAAGAGAGTGGGCCGGCAGAGATTGATTGAACCAATCACATCCATCGACGAACGCTAATAATGTAATCGCTACCTGCGTTGCACCTTTAGACAAGTAATCAGGGTCAGGTGATGTAGGTGTTCGAGGATATTGGGCCAGGGAGCCCAAGAGGTGCTAGGAAGAGCACACACGATTCCAATGCTGGAATGGGGCGCGATAAGTCGTTGGGAGGTAAGAGTAAGCTTAGATGAAATTTACACTAATCACGGAGTCTATTGAACAAATTGCGTTTATTGTCCCTGATATGTACCGCTGGAGGGAGTTAGAACAATTGCTGGGAGGGACTGAGAGGTCGACGCGGGATCAAATTTATTGTAGTGGGATGAGAGAGGTATGACAAAGAGCGTGAGTCTGAGGGAGATTGAGGTATGCGTCATATAGTGTAAGGACCAGCGGGAGATCTAATCTCAGCATTGAGGGCGACATTAAATGGGGATGTACTCGATTATCTTTGGGATGATAGGCATTAGAAAGGGAGAGAATGGTGGGTAGCTATCAGGTATCAGATGGTGGCTTCAGGTTATGTCCTCAAGGGAGGCATCAAAATTATATGCTTTGGGGAGACATCCGTGTCCTAAATTCCTTATGAGACAGATACCATCCTAGGCAGTGAAGACTATATGTTGACAAGCGACAAGCCAGCCTCATTATAAATATTGTTTGTGACGAGCCCCAGGCGCAAGGAACGGTGGCAGAAAGGAATCGGTCAGCTTGAAACCAACGGACCGATCAGCAATTGGAAATGGGTGTGTAAATTACGTTTGAACAGGAGAGAAATCAAACAGCAAGAAAATCAACTCATTAATCAACCATTTGAGGATCTACCAGCCGAAAACACTCACCTGAGGTCGTTCCAGAGCACGGCGCAGGTCGGCAACCATCTCGGACAGAAAACACCCCCGATGAACGAAATTTTATTAAACAATATTTTTTTTTGAAAACATACTCCCCACCGCTTCCGGACCCCAGGGGGGCATCATCACAGTGTTTATTTACCGCTTGTGCATTGCTGAACGCTTTGTATAAATTTGTATGAATAAGTGAAGAGTCTCACAACGTTCATGGTTGGTGTGCCCCTCGTATTGTTTGTACGGAAGCCAAATATACCTACATTGTTGCTCTTGAAGCATTTTTTTTTTAGTTGGTGAGCTCCGGTTAACAGAAGTTTCGTGAAGCTTCTGAAGGAAGCGTCTGTGGGTCTGTTACCATCCTCTGGGGGGTTTACACTAAAGGAAAGAGTAAACATTACCATGTGACAAAGGGTAGGCCATAAGAATATACTCTCTGTAGGAGGGTAAAGCACAGAGTAGATGATGCGTTACTCCCTAAAAAAGGGTTCCGTTAAAGATTTACCCTTTCAAAGAGTGTAACCCAAAAAATGTTACACTCTAGACAAGAGTAAATCAAAAGAGTTTACCATTCAGAAGATGGTAAAAAACGTCTGTGTGTCATGTTACCCCTCCCTGGCGAGTTTACTCTTCATGAAAGAGTAAAATTTACCATCTGGAAGGTGGTAAAAAACGTCTGTGTGTCAAGCTACCATGCTATGGCGGGTTTACCCTTCAGGAAATGGTAAAAAAGTTTTCAGTGCGCCTCTCGTCAGAAACTCTGTCAAAACGGTGCACAATCCATCATATAAGGCCTACAAGAGTGTCAGTTCCATGTAGGGGTCAGTCAAGTATAGGTCAGGGTCAAGGTCAGGTCAACCGGGTAGGCACATATCCCCGAAAATCAAAACTGATATTCGCAGCCTATGACACATGTTTTATGGGTAATTTGGGCCGCAGAACACGATAGTGACATTCATTTTATCATATGTGTACGTGTTTGGCTCAAAAAGTTCAAGTTAAGAAATTCATGTATCATGGTCGTGAAGTAGTCACGAGAAATTGTCAAGATTCAGTTCAAGATTTTGGAAAATGCGGAACGATAATCAATAATCGAAGATAGCCATTTGATTGTTCATGGTATCGGCATTCTAATGCCGTTTACGGCATGTCTGTATGTCTATTCTGTGATTTTATATGATTTTTTGAACATATGCCGTTTTTGGTCGAAAAATCAGAAATCATGACGTCACTAAAACCTCGATATCTCAAAAATTTTCCGACCGATTTTTTTGAAACTCTGTCACAATAAACTTCAATCAGTTCCCTACAGGCACCCAAAATTTGGCGCGCCTGCGGCGCGCCATTTTTATGCTATGGCCCGGCGAAAAAAGTGGGGGCGTTTAACGCCCCCCCCAGCAACTCGCGGGTTAAACACCAATTCCTCTAAAGCCAGTACGGTCAAAACCAGTCTCAGCTACACTCTGTGAAAACACGAATGTCGTCCCCCTCTCAATATTTTAGAGTTTAGACGGTACAGGCGCTGCCATGGGGAGCAAGATGGCCGCTGTCCACGACCAAAGGTCACTGCACACTGCACAAAGGGCTCAGGTCGGGGATCGCCTCCCACCCGCCAGGCTCTCTGCAAATTGCTGTGACATATTTAGCCTCTTATCAAACGAGCCCAGAGATAAGAAGACATTTTAATGTCAGCTGACCTTCCAGGAGGGTGTCAAAGGGCACCGGTAATTTATGCGTCTTTAACATGAGAAAGGGCAAAAGAGGCAGACCATTTCAGTTCGAGCCCAGCGCTTGACCTGTGGATTTAAATGCGGATCAAAGGTGCTCATCCATGTGCGATGCATGTGACCACACCTTTGGTCGGGATGCAACAGACTCAGCATTATCGGATATAACATAAGTTTGGAAATAAGAACAACAACACTGAACTTGTTCGCATGTATCTGATCATCGGTCAGTTACCCTGTTCCTGTTCAAGGAACGGTGAACAAGTCCGTCCACGAGCAGTTCAGTATATCAAACGATCGGTATTCTTGGCCCACAATTCAGTTCACCGGATGCCAACATCTGCATCGTTCATCATCCCAGAGTGCCCACGGGGGCCGGTCAGCCCGAACCAGGCATCCCAACAGGTGCCGCTCTCTGACCTGCGGGCTCCCGTAGTAGAGCTAGCAGGAAAACACCAGGCGCGTTGGGAGCAAGAGCAGCCAACCAGGGTATATGACCAACCGTGATATCGATTGGGTGGAGAGGTAAGCACGCAGCGGAAGAGCCGCGGTGGCAGCAGGTTCAGCCACAAACAAGGGTAAATAAACGCTGGACGTTCAGATTATGGCCAGTTACACACTAAAATATGTGAAATGTGTTCGGCATGACATTTGACCGGATTAATTGAACAGATGAAAATGTTCATGAACACTTCCGCACCATAATCAATATACAATCAAGAGCCAAGGGATTCCGTTTTTGTACGCCATGAACGTCCCGTTTAACAGTGGAGCCAAATGGCGTCGGTTCGTTAATCTAACCCGCCACTCGCAATCATTAATCAACCCTTCTCTCACCCTTCACGGCTTTCCTCAATAGCTGTCGACTCTGAAAGCTTTCACAGCTTAGTAAATCCAACCATAGACTGCGGCCTTGAGTAACTCCAAAGTCCAACCGCACTACGGTCGTCGTGTGCCTGCATGGTGGAGTGCTGGGTGCCCTAGCTACTGATACTGGTTATGTGGATGATAGACAGTTTATTCAGGACATTCCACTGGAACATGTGGCTATTACTGCCCGTCGTCAGTAAAACAGGTGATGATAAAATACAATAAAAGATGAAAGGGGAACACATACAGAGAGACACTCATGATGACTAGTTGCTAGTGTTCTGCTCCTCGAGCAGATGCCTGCGTAGGCGTTGTCCGAACGCCCCCGGGGGCAGTCGGGGCAAATCCGATGGCAGCGAGTTGAGGGCAGCCGGCGCTCGGCAGGTGAACCGGCGTTTGCCCATCTCTGTACGGGATCGCGGCACGTGCAGGAGTGTGTCCTGCCGCGTGCTGACAGCAGCGTCCCGGCCGCGCGCCTCCGCCACGGTGGCCAGACTACCCGCTAGCAACTCCGGCTCGGCGTGACACCGCACTTTGTGCAGCAGGCACAGGGAGTGGTAGGTGACGAGGTTCTCCGCGCTGAGCCAGCGCAACTGGCACATCAAATCGGAAACATGATCGTACTTTTTGCGGCCGAAAATGACTTTTGCTGCGTAGTTTAAGATTTTTTGTATCCGAGAGAGATTGTGTCTGGTGCCAGCACCATACACTGCGATGCAGTATCGAACTTGTGATATGACCAGTGCGCTGACCAGCACGGAGATCACAGTGGGCGGTAGTAGCCCCCGGAGATGCGAGAGACCACCCAAAACTCCAAAGCAGCGTTGCGTGAGCGTTGTAATATGATCAGTGATCACCCCAGGTAAGGTGACGATCGAATATGATGCCGAGATTTTTTACTGAGGAAACTGGGGACAACTCGTGATCGCGGTATTTTACTTTAAGTTCAGGCAATGTGCGAAGATTTTGGGGGCTGCCCAACAGCATCAGCTGAGTCTTAGCGGCGTTGACTTTTAAGCCGTTGGCCCGGAACCAACGGTCAAGAGAGGCCAATGTGTCCTCCATACGAGTGACGAGTGATTGAAATTGAGATTTCTTGCCGCTTACTAGAATTTGTGTGTCGTCTGCATATTGTACTACTACTGCGCCTTCGGCAAACTGACTAAGGTCGTTGGCGAAGACGCAGTAGAGGAGGGGGCCTAAGGCTGAACCCTGAAAAACTCCGATGCTGTTGGGTAGCGGGCGGGACTTTTTGATTCCACCGTGATTGTCAGTGAAGCTGACGCTCTGAGTGTGGTTTTGAAGATATGCGGAAAACCATGAAGTGTCAATTCCGTGCGCCTGTAATTTTGAAAGGAGCTTCAAGTGGTCAATCACATCAAAACATTTGCTCAAATCCAGCAGGCAGAGAAGGGAAACCTCTCCATGGTCAGATGCGGATAGGATATGGTCGGAAATGGATGCGAGCGCGGTTTCCGTGGAATGGTGAGGTCGGAAACCGTGCTGGTTAGGAGATAGGAGAGGTTTTCGGACAGGTAGGAATAGAGCTGTTGGTGGACAGCTCGCTCTAGGATTTTGGTGATGACAGGTACGATGGATATGGGACGGAAGTTGGACGGGTTAGACAAATCACCGGATTTTAAGATGGGATGAACAAGGGAATGTTTCCAGGAGTGCGGGACGTCGGATTGGGTAATGCTGGAGTTGAGCAAATGTAGGAGCACCTCCCCGATCGACTCAAAACACGCACGGAGCACGTGAATACTGACACCGTCCTCGCCGCAGGCCGACGAGCTGCTGAGTCCGAAGACGACAGCACGCAGCTCTGACAGCGACAACGGCGCCAGCACGAACGCACAGGCGCCCACACGCGGCAAACGGCAAGGGGCGGTCGGCAGATCACCCAACCCGCGTACCTCGGCAGCTACTCGCGGTCCGACACTGACAAAATACTCATTCAGGTGGTCCGCCGATGTGCTGGGCACAGCACGCGACCCCCGCCTACTACCCACGTACGGTCTGATAATGCGCCACATAATGATAATGATACTATGATGTTGGAGTAAATGGTTCATATACGTCATCCATGACCATCGTTTTTCTAGCCGTCACCTTTCGTTGACCGCCCTCCCTCGACCGCACATGTCGACTGCATCCCCTCTCCTCCACAGAGAACCTCACTGCGCCGACACTTCCAAAAAGATATAGATACCTTCCAAAAAGATACACACATAAATCAAAGACAATTTAGTCACCGCAACGTCGTAGACCATGCCGATGCTACACATCCACAGAGTCCCAAACTCTGATAAACCCACGACGGTCCAACTACCCACTGACGGAATCCTCAGGGGTGGATCGCGCTGCCGCCCCTCGATAGGCCGTATTTCACCATCAGACACTGTTTGTCTGGTCTGTCGGACCAACACCAATAAATAACAAACTAGAACAAGCTGGCTCTCAGGGGGCCGCGGCGTACTCGAGGAGGTAGCCAGTGAGTAGGAAAAGTCGTCAAAGTCCGGGGGCGGGGCAGAACGAGTGTAGTGGTGAGGAAGGATTTATAAGTTACAAGCATCCCATTGACCCCAATCCTGTAGCATGTAACGGTTCGATGCTTAGTCCAGTAAGACAGAAACAGTCAGAGCTTACTTTTGTTGTGCAGTATTCAGCTTCAGCCAACTTAGATTCCACACCAAGATATAAGAGGACTTAGACTCGACGGTTGTAAAGCTACTTTTGCTCCTCAGACAACAGATCCTGGATCTTGCGTCGTTCCTGTTTACATTGTTCCGAGTAAATCGCTCATTGCTGGCATGATCCTCTCAGTGCGGTTTTCAGTCAGTAAACCGCCTCAAAAGCACATTTATAACGGGAGAGATCAAATAAGACGATCTTGTATCACGTTTCGAGGGCAAATATATCATCAAAGCAAAGCTAGGAGATAGTACAGCCGCGCAGGCAATCTCCTACCTTCAGAAACAGCTTCATAAACAGTAAAAACAAGTCAGCAAAAACAGCCATAAATGGTCAAAACCAAATCGTCCGACAAATCCTTCTTATTTGTTCGTTCTCCAGGAGCACATGTTGTTTTAACATTTACTCAATGCTGTTCAACTTAGCCGCTGTTTCCAGTACCCACTCTTATCCAGGGACCATCGCCCAATCATAACGAGAAATCAATCTCCTTTGGGTAGTGTTCTTCCTCTCCCACTTTCCTCCTCTTCCTTTCAGTACCCACTTTCCCCTCCCCCCCCACACACACACTACCCGCTTCTCCGGGCGCCCTTCCCTCTCCACCACCTCCTCCCCCCCAGGGTCCACAGAGGTCCACAGAGGTCCACTGTCCACCACTGGCGCTGACCGGCGGTCCAAACCGCCAGCCGTCCGACGACTACCGCCGGCACTGAGCAGCAGATCCTCGCCCAGATCACGTCCGGCGCGCGGAGCAAATTTCCAAACAATCTCCCGGCTCTGGCGTCGGCCGCCTCCTAACGCCGCGACTGGACGGCCTCGGCTTCTCGTCTCGGACCCCTACCCCCTCCCTCCCTCTCCATCCCTATAGCCTCGGGCCCAGTAACAAACCATCGGGGGGCATTGCTGGCCCTCTCCTGGCCCCGAGCATGGTAACAACAATTCGAGAGCTCGTCTCAAGGATGGCAACTTTCCAGACTCTACATACGTGACTGAAGACCGATCACTGATCGCGAACATCCTTTGAACATACAAACCGCACTTACCAGAGCCAACATATCGCCCTTGAGTAAGTGTATAATAGCTAGTGACTAACTCAGCACCGTCAGTACGGCTAGGCCTACTACTGTACCTATGTAGACCAAAATCCTCCACCGGCTCTCTACATGACCCGAAGACCAAGAAAGCAGAACACCGAGTCTCCGGACACGGGCCCAATAGCAAGTACAGAAAGTTCCGTCAGCCACTCACTCGCCTTTCTCAGCCGGTGACAATAAACGACCACCCCATTCCATTCACGGACAATAAGCCATTCCCACCATGTCACGACAAGTGTTGACCCACGCCACACAGACCCGTGCATACATATAGCGCTAGCTAATTAAGACGCTCGTCGCTCATGGAACAGCGACGTCGCCGCTCTGTTCCTCGGTTAGTTACATTAATCACGCGATGGATATAAACGACCTTACGCCCGACACTGCGGTGCTGAATATTGCAGGAGGACCGTACGAATGTCGCAGGGACAGTACACACGCACACATGCACGGCGTTCCATGGACACGTCAGTGGGTTGACTGACAGCCGACAGGTGGCTGGCAGCGTCTGACAATTGTCAATGCGGGCTGTGGCAGCCCTCCTTTGTGGGTATCCAGTGTTCACAAGAGGTCTTTTCTTCCGCCAATGTTACCACATGCCGTACCACGTCATGCATCATTATCTTCACGTCAACAGATGACATCGCTCGGCAATGTCCATTCAACAACCACGCCCGTCCACACAGGTGTGTCCAGTGGTGTGGACGCGTCCAAGACAGGCTGCCTGGCTATTTTTGCCTGCTACTGGGTCCTATCTGTCACTGAAGTTTGGCTTCACCGATGGTATACGGACGCGTCGACAGCATGGTCATTTGGTCTGGCTTCAGCGACTTAAACGCGGCCGGACAGGTATTTATAGGTAGGAGGAGGAACGTTCGGGAAGATCAATGAACGTTGGCTGAATATACCAATGCCTAAATATCACACCGATTACTCACTGTGATTACTAGCGTCGAACATCCAATGAAACGATGACAATCATTGATAACTTACCAAAAGCTAAGCCTACCACCCGCACCGGTAGCACCGATGCCACTCCAAAGACTCTCGGCCCCAGTTGCTACCAGCGCAGTATCTGGCTGGGCGGCCGTTCGGCGGCCGGCAGCCACTTTACGCCGGTCGGCGGGCGCGATCCTCCGCTGTGATTAGGCCGCCGGCCTGACTGATGGCCGCCCCACTGCAGGAGCCGGGCCCGGTTATACAGCGCCGGCCGGCCGATATATGGAGCCGCCCCGACCAACTGCCTGATACGTGCCGGGCTCAGTGGTGTCGATAGCGGCGATAGCAAACCTACACTAGCTCAGTCCAGCCCAAGGATGGGAATAAACCGGACCGAGACTTCCTCCGGCACTAACAAACCTACAACCAGTCCAGCCAACCGGCGCGGCGGACGGAGAATAAACCGTACCGAAACCTACCAAGGCCGCTAATAAATTTAGACCAAGCCTAGCAACACGGAAAATGGGATGGAAATTCAACCAAACCAAACCCCGATAATGTCGCCAACAGACCTATAACCATCCAAGCGAAGATAAACCAAACGAGACCCCGATGGCTAACACTGCTGTCAGCCCTCGCCGAACCGGCGCTGACGGCCGTCGGAGCTGGAGGCGCCTGAAGTTAGACTGCACCGTAGGGCAGCTGTGTAATGCGGCACAGCCTACCCTCCCGCTCCAGCGACGATGCCGAGCGGCGCGGCGCGGAGCCGGGCCGACGAATTTCCCCAAAACCAACTCCGTGGCCGAGTGGCTGACGGACAGGGTTCAATTAGCGGTCATCGGGCCGCGGTCACGGGACAGATTCCCAAACGGCGGCCGACGCGAGCTACGGCGCTCCGACACGCGAGTGGTGAGCAGCCGATTTGGGAGGCGCAGCGAAGGGCGCGGCGACTTGACTACAGAGCTAAGGAACTAACGCAGAGAGGGAGTTGAGTAAGTCGAAACTGAAGGAGTCAGAAAAACCGCCAGAGTTTAATTAAAGTGGTTCCAGGAAAGTTAGCAGCACGTAAACAAGCCTGAAATACTCCAACATTCAATGAGGTGTGGCAATTTCTTTATAATAGTAAGTTATGAGCAATATATACCCCCGTTCGGTCCATCAGGAACAGGTAAAATAGCCTGAGCATGCGAGCAAAGAAAAGGATACATCACTAGTGTTTTCCTCCACTTCGCCCATTTTCCGGGACCATGAGGAGCATGTCTTACGCTAATGTGCCAAGACCATCCATCAGCCCTGACACGGTCATTAAGAATCCAAGTACCGATGGAAAAGACGATGGCCCATATAACCCTTCAGGGGCAATATCAATAAATATACGAGTACCTTTTGTCATTGAGGGGCGCTTGGCAGCACTGCCATCCTGACCCAGATGCGCAACATTAGCGACCAGCTGTGTATGCTTTCCTATCCTAGCCACCAGGGTTATCCGATGGCGATCAGCAATCAATGGCCGGATGCATCGCGATGCATACCTCCGGAAGTAGCCGTCGGGGCCCACAACTTCTCAAGGCTACCTGGCAGGTCACAGTATCGGCGGAGTATCGATCAGGCCAACCAACCCACCTTCACCGCCGCCACAGAAGGTCAGTCCACACCCGCGACTGATTTTGAGTACAATCGTAGCGGATGTTCTGTTACCCGCCGAGAATCATAAAAAGTAGCTCTCACTTTGACAAAATACCGAAACAAAATATGGAAACACAGTATCGAAGAGATGCCTACCACATCCATAACAGGAGCAGTCTCAGTGGCGTCTACCTTGACCTTGTGCCGACCAGTCGACACACAACTCCACCATTAAACCAGCAGAAGTGGTCATGGAGCCGGCACACAGACCCAGCACGGCTACCACAGGGTCTGGCTGGAGGTAATTGTGCCGTTTTCTGCCCCGGTGAGTGCCAGCTGGGGTTGTCTGACCGGCCCACGGTGGCTTACATTGGGCAGCTGGGGTGGCCTCTCAGTTTGAAGCGCAGTGGCTCAGACTGAGTTCAGACTGTCTGACCCGTTGACATCGGACAACTTTTTCAGACAGTTGACGGACCGGCGCCGCACTGACGCCTCAGATCAGCACGGATCGACCTCTGAGCTCACAAGACCAACACGGACTTCTAACCTCACAGCACAGGACTAGCACAGACAGAACCAGATATCCAACTCTACTAAATTCCTGCACATCTGTCCAACTGCACACTGCCTAACACGCTGTCCTCATTTCAAGACGCCATCCATTAAAGCGTCGTTTCCAGCGCGGCGCGGCGGGACGCAATGAGAGCTACAGCGCAGAGGCTGAGAGCTTCACGGAAATGCCGACACGGCTCTACACTTAACGCCCTGGGAGCTCCACAACCGATTCGCACCGTAATGGATCTTCTACATAAGAACATGGTAATCAATATCAGATCCAATACTGACCCAGATATGTGATAGGCAGTAAGCTCGTGCTATTAACCTGGCTGGAACGATCTGTTGGAAAATGAAAGGGACGCCATTTAATTGCGTCCCAGAAAAGCTATTTCTGGCACCTAAAAGCTGACTCGCCCCAAAATTGGTCCTCAGCACCTATTTGGTGGATACCAGCACCAATCATGGAAAATGACCTTAATTAGCTGTTTCTGGCACCTATTCATCGGTACGCCTTATTCTTTTTTCTGAATCTGGCACCTAAATGCTGAGCGTAGCACCAATCTAGTAGAAAAATGAACTACTGGCTGATAGAATCATGTTGTTCTGGTATAATGACCCCTGGAGTCTAGCCTAAAGGTTGCCAGTGCAGCTACACTCTAAGACAGCCCCGTAGTGATCTCAGCATTGTACATATATGACGTTTAAGTAAGCAAATAATATTAATTTGTTTGAAAAAACAATGTCATTTAAATATTTAAAAGCATTTATTTGTAATGCTTAAAGGGAAACATTTTTGTGAGTAATTGTCTCGATTTTGACCATTAAAACGGGTATTGTATTTTTTGACGTCATCAAATAGCTCCAAAAAAGAAATGTAATGTTTTCATTCCGTTCAAGGCCGCTGAAGAAACGCGGGATCTTGCGTGGGACATTGTCCGTTGTTTGCCGCGCAGAGTTGTGCCGTAGTTGTGCCTTTTTCATCCGTTTCTTACGTATGGCATATGTGTGCATGAAGCTTTGATTTTGTTTTTGGTTATTGTGTGGCCGGTCAGTCAAACGCCCCTGTAGAAACCGGATGCTGCGTTTGATCGAGATGGAGTCAGACGATGATTGCAGAAAGCTAATAATATTGAAAAGAAGGCCGGTTGTGTGGCATGTCTGTTCAGAGTTGACATTTTGCTTTACTCCAGTTTATGACCTGAGAGCCTGGCTGGAAGTGACGGATCCAAACTTGTCACGTTAAAATGGCTGAGGGTGCAATAATCTCTAGTCTCTACATAGCGGGCTGGTATAGGAGCGTCTTGCTATGCTGCACCATAGCTGGCTAGTGATTCTCTTTTGGCTAGAAATGGCATTAATCATTATCTCCACTGGCGAAAATGGCACTTGACATCACCGAATGCAACGTTCATGTTGTTAGGATACATAAAATCAGGAAGATTACGCGAATTAGGTAGGCAAACGTGGAATAAAATAGGTGCTGGATGTTTTGGTTTTGGTGCTGAATCAGCAAACAGCAAATACGGAGTTCAACTAGACGATCTGGCAACTTTAGGCTGTGTGGAAGCAATTAGGTGCCAGATTCAGATATTAGGGTCGAATAAGCATTTTGGGGCTGATCAGCAATTAGGTGCCAGAAACAGCTTTTTAGGGACCAGAAACAAATATTCCCCAAATGAAAGGAATGAATATATACGTGAGTGGTGACTCTTCAGGCTGCTGAAATGGGGTGGCAATGGCGTAAATTCACAGTGGAAGAAAGATAAAACTTGGAGCTACTGAATATCATAGCTCCTGCGAAACGGTTAAGCGCCCCAGGTTAGAGCCTTGTTTCCTTCAAAGGTCGACACAGAAGCTCCAATGACTCTCCACAGCTCAACGTAACACGCTTTCAGAAGCCCCAGCCGAAACCGAGGCCCTCGATGCAAGTTAATACCTAATATACCCGAGGTACCCAGCAAGCCACAGCCCACGCCCACAAGCTCCACGCGAACCAAAATCATCATCCCACTCCCAAGCCAGAATCGGCACTCTCTGTCAGCTTCACTCGGGCCAGCACTGCTGTCAAATCAGCCTCTCTGAGCCGTCACCACCGTCCCACGTCAGCTCCTGCTACGCCACCACCAATCTCACACAGCTCCGTCGGCAGTGCTCAGGCGCCGGCGGACTCACCGGAACATGGCTGAGCTGCCTGGACGGCGCGCCGCCAGACAGGGGTCTCCTGCTCGGGCCCGGGGTCTGTCCGGGCCTGCCGCGCTGCAGCGCTGACGGGGGCGGCGGAGACATGGCACTGGACACCACCGGGCCGCCGCCGGCCGCCGACCGACGCCGCCACCGCCACTCCATCGACTGCCGGCCGCCGGCGGCGGCGGCGGAGGCGTATCGACGTCCGTCGGCCGCTCGGCAGGTAGTGCGGTCCCGGACCGACCGCCGCCGACCCGCCGCAGCCGCCGCCGCCCGAGGCATACGCTCCGTTTAACACAGCCGGCCCCAGCCCGCGGCACGTGCATGGACCGGGTTCCGGACGACGCCGACACCCCTCCCCTCTGCTGCTGCCAGGCGAAATCAGCCGCTGAGCCGATCGATAAAGACGTCGCCATGGTAACTGAGCGGCGGCGTCGCGTCGAGCCGGCCACCGCCGAGCGGGCCGATCTTCGCGGCACTATGCGGATTGCGGGTCCCGCGACATCGCCCTGGTGCCACCGAAGGCCCGAAAAGGTCATCACAATCCCTGAGGCGACATGGGATCTGCGAAGGACCGTCCTGTCTCCCCCAGGGAAATCAGTTCATTTTTCCTGCTGTAGCTTCCATCAAAACAAATAAATGGGACTGGCCTCACACAGCAAACATCTTTCGACACATATCGTTGTTTGCTGTACTGGCAGTCAAAACATTAGTAAAGATATTGGCAATCCCAGACTCCCAACTGATTGTCCGAAGCAAAAAAAAAAAAAAAAGACAAAAGCCAAAAGGCCGAGAAGCGAGAGCTCTTCCCAATTTCTTCCAAGCGCGGCTAATACCGGACGGTCTGCTCAGGTAGGCTGCGCCGCAGCGCAGTCGTGTCCTGCGGCACAGCCTAGCCTGATCGCGGCAGGCGGCTGCTGACGCTCGAACGCCGTGGAGCTCAGCCGTTCGATCCAACAACAGTTTCCTAATCGGTAGGAAAGCCGTGAGCTGTGCCGCACCCACACTGGCCCCCTCCCTCTTAAATTGGCTGCTTTACAGGGCCTGACAGGTTACCGCGCTGGAGCTAGACGCCGCCGGCGGCTACGCGCACTTTCCAGTCAGTAATTAACATTCCACATCGCAGGCATTCCTGCAGCCTGCGCCGCGCGAGTCGGCCCTCGGGGGTATCGGGTTACAAAGCCACTGTTCCACTTACCTTGCTCTCTGCCTCTGCAGCCTTCTGCTCCGACTCGACCACACGCTGCTCCAGCTCCACCAGCTGAAACAGAACAGAGCACAGAGTGTCAGAACAAGAACCAAAAGACCACACACTCAAACGACTAAAATTTCAGCCCTTCCAGCTGAAACACGCTAGAGCATAGCATGTAAGTGATCACAGATGCACTTAACACGCGCAGTGGAAGGGTTGCGAGTACTACGCCCAGTGGAAGGGGGGGGCGGATGTCGCCCCCCCCCCCTAAGATCTCAGCTCCCAGTGGAGCTAGAAAGACGAAATTTGGAGGGTAGGTGGGGGCCATGGGGAACTCTGTTGTGTGTGAATTTCATGACCCTAGGTCAATATCTTCAAGGTCAAATGAGGTCAAATGTGGTCAAATCTGCCATATTAGCGACTTTTTTGCGTTTACACGCCAATAACTCAAAAAGTTACCGGCCGATTTCTTTAAATCTTTCACTATACGAAAGAACAAACATTTGTGAGTATGTATGGTGAATTTCTAGATAATCCAACAATAAATATGGCAGTTAGAAGCCTGCTAAGGGTAAGATGTCGCCGGCTGAAGCGGCATCGGCCGACGCGGGAAACGCGGCAATCACAATTTTGTGTTTACACACTCATAACTCAAGTTGTTACCGGCCGATTTTCAAAATTCTTTAACCATATGATTGCCTGTACATTTCTCAGTCTTCTCACCGAATTTGACGCGAATCTAATATAATCAGCGGTAAGGAGCGCGATGTAAAGACGGAACCGTCCCGCCCCGGCACAGTCTACAATTCAGGCGGCGCGTAACGGCTAGCGCCGGCCGCCGCGCCGCCGCGCCGCCGCGGCGGCAGGATGTTTGACTTTACACCGCTATTACTAGAAAAGTTGTGAACCGATTTTCTTACTTTTTGCACGAGAAGATCCGCAATTCAATTCTGGACAGGTAGCCGAAATTTCACATTGATATTATGCTTGTGGCGCGAGTTATTGGCGAAAAACAGGAGGGGTGGGCGAAATCCGCCCCCCCCCCCTTCCACTGCGCGTGTTAAGCCACAACTCTACCAGCGGAGACAGGCCAGATACAGCACGCACACATTAAATCCATCTCCATCAGGTAAGACAGACTGCAGAACAGCGGCCATCAGTGATAGCACACTATACCTGGAAAACGTCACCGATAACATCCAGAACACCATTTAATAGGAACACTGGCACAATAACACAATCCTGTTCTAGAGGCATCGATCAACATCAATTATGCTCGAGAATACCCATGTAAAATGACGGAGCGAATGACCTGTGCGTAAACATCAGATCCGCCACGGACTATCAATGGAATGGGCTGATGGGAATCACTTTCCCCGTGCAACAGACGCAATGAACGGTGAGGATCACTGCAGCTGAATCATAAATCAGAGATAATTTACGGCCCCGATGAAATACGGGCAACAAGAGACCATTATGAAAAGTTTACTAAAGTATAAACATTGACACAATGTGCCGATGAAAAGAAATACCAGGCAATAACAGAAACGGCCACATTTGGAACATGACCATTTATCATGCAACTTTGCCTTTGCAAAATTATAATTTCATTCACGAGCACTGTATTATAGTTATAGTTAAGCCGTAACACTGTGTAACGCTGGATAGGTCGCACGGGGTGCAATAAGGAAATGACATCGCGAACTTCACCCTAAGTAATTATTCGATAGTCTTAACTCGACAAATAAGCCTGGCAATTTTTGGGAAATGTACACAGTTGTTATAAATTATTCCAGCTATTAGTTGGCATAGTTCAACGCCCATTATTGTGAAGCACCGTCAGTCCGAATTATGCAATAGTAGAAAGGTGTATTTTTCCTTGCAGCTTATAATCCAGTGAAGTAGTACCTAACATACTTTGGTCATTGAGAAACATACTTAGCATACTTAGCCTTATGAGAAAAGCTCTGAAGTTGCAACTGAAGTTGTATACACCATATCGCATCACACAGGCCGTTCTAATAAAGCATCACATTTTCAGCATTGCGATCACTCCAAGAGCCACTCCAGGCTGTTCCCCTGCAATTGCGCACAGCTGTGTAATTTGTGGTCAATGGCTGAGCTCCCAATAAGCGAATACACCGCGCCAGTACCAGATTAGGGTCAGGGTTCGACCGCAGTTCGGCACACGGTGGACAAAGAGCCCCTCCGACTTCCTCAGACCCGCACAAAACCCGTCTTCCGAGAGGCAGCGCCGTACCAACATCGCGCCGTCCTCGCCGGCAGGATATTGCCGTGCCAGAAAAGGAACTCCCGGATAAGCTGCTCCGCCGGTCCCATGCCAAATATTACAGAGAAATGCGGAAATTACTCCAGCGGGAACTGCCAGACAACTACAGGAAATGATGATCAGGTGGATAAGGCTGATAAAAAAAAACTTGAAAAGCTGCAAACAACCGCGACGCTGCCCAAAAACATGCAATCGGGTCAGGTCGTGGGCACAGTTGGACACGCAGTGCTTTGGAGAGATAATGGAGAAGTTATCACATTTTCGTAGCAGAATGAAAGAAGCATTCAACTGAAGTCGCATATTCTAATCAGTCTGCGAATACTGTGCGATACTGACTATTGTTCAGCCAATGACTCGGTAGCAAAATCATGTCTCCTTGTTCTCTCGGACGTGACAGGCCTACCGGAGCACTTTCGGTTCACCTCCTGAGCTTCCCTCCCCCGCCATAAACACGCACCCCCCCCCCCTCCCCCACCTGACCTGTCCTCCCTTCCCCTGAGTCAGTCCGCTGACCCGTTTCCTGGCCGGTACTGAGGGTCGCCTGTCGGACGACCGGAAGGCCAGGGCGGGGCAGACGGCTGTACCGGCGGCGCCGGCCGGTCGGCCGTCAGTGACTCACGGGCGCCACCCGGACTATTGCAGCCCACGAGTGGCGCCGCTACGGTCAACGTCGACTCACGGGCGCCAGCACGGCACTGCCGCCCACCCCAAGGCCCCAGCTACGCCCATCACGAGCGGGCGCCACCCCGGCCATGTCGACCCAGGGGCGCGACCCCGGCCACTGCGACTCACGGGCGCCACTACAGCCATCATCTCTGGATGGGTCCCGCCAGTGCGTCCAGGGGTTGGCGTTACCCCACTATTGCAGGTCACGAGCGTGTGTCACTCCGGTCACTGCAGCTCACGAGTAGGCCCCAGTCATTGATTTGACTTATCAGGTGAAGGCCTGAACTGAAGAGGCAGATCAGATGGAAATAACTCATATGGAAATAGCACCATTGAACTAGCGGAGAAAATGCAGAGGTGAAATCGATACTATCTTGCTTAATTTGGAGTAATCTGCACCCTATTACCAAGAGACCGTTATAAAAAAAAAAAAACAATCGAGGAGTGTGAAAGGTCCACGTCTAGGTATTCTCATGAATCCGCTCATTCTACGCTAACGAAAGCTGGCGTGACTCTGGGCTCATTGGGACAAGTCCAAACCGAAGGGACAGCCTGATGGAAAATAACTAAATTACGCCCCTCCACCGCATTCGTTCGGCAAACAGTTTGGTTTGGCTTAACTTTGACCAGCATAAGCGAGGGCTGAAGCTCCTGCCACCTAGCGTTTGGACGAAAAACAAACGCTTCCTCGCTCCCCATCACAGTGGCGCCTACCACCGGGGCACTTGCTCGCCTGTAGCGACACCTACACAGCAGTTGCGAGAGATTCCAGACACCTAGCGGACACGCAGCCAACTGACAGCCGACGGTGCTGCCCCCTCACCACACAGCATTAGCGCAGCTTGGCGGTGCGGAGAACAAATGTGATGCCAATGCCATTAACCATTGACATAAACTCTGGATCGTGGCCGAAGCTGATCCGGAGATTAACTCTGCGGTCTGACATCTGCCGACCTGGAGCATCAGATCCGTGCCGTGGCGCCATCTGACCTCAGAGCTGGTCGCACTATTTCTAAAAGCTGATCACCAAAACAGATGGCTTCACATGTTACTGACTTTCGTAACCTCTTGGTAAACACGTGCCTACTAAACAGTCGTGACGAAGGTCAAGTAGGTACTGCAAGTACCGTTGAGCAGCGATTGCCTACCGCTAACACTCCCCTCCAAAAATACGCCCCCCCCCCCCTCCATTGTGAACTTCTCCGCCTTTCTCTCCCCAAATCATCTAAGACCGAGCAGCAGCTCACTCCCGACCTTTTCCCCACAAAGGTCGCCTCCGTCCCACAATGGGCCAAACACAGTGCCGCCGCCCGGCTGCCATTAGGGCCCGCCGACCGTTCTGTGCGACCAATGCGAGCCGGCCGGCCGCAGCGGCCACCCATACATCAGAGCCGCCTTTCATCGGTGACCGTCCAGCGTCGCTATCGGCCGACCTGCAGTCGGAGCCTAGCCAGCCGGCCGGTCATTCCGAGCCAGTGGACAAAGGGAGACCGCTCCCGGGCTTCTGTTGCCAGCGATACCTCTCTGCAGCTGCCGCGGGACGCTCTACAGTCCTCGCGCTGCGATGGAGGGCTCCATCAGGCCCGGGGTCTGCCGTGTAGATCAAACGGGCCGACAGAGAATATCGGCCGACCGGGCCGCGCCGCCGGCATAAAGACGGTCTAATAGAGCGTCTGGCGGCGGCTGGGCCGGGCCACGGCTCCGGCCAGACTGCAGATCGATCGAACGAGCTCAGCTGCCGGGGTCACCGGCGGGGTCACACGGGAGGTCACACGGGAGGTGTGGCTCGCGGGTCAGACACGGGGGTTCACCGGCGCGGCGGGCCAAGCTGAAGTTATAACACGCGGGTCAGACTCGCCGCTCAACCGGGGCAAAAAAACTTAGGATATGGAAGATGGCGACGGTATCTCGATATACATATTCAGACAAACAGCTGCAAGCAATCTCATTTTCGCACCCAATGTTGAAATTCGGGCCCGAGGTAGGGCGAATTAGAAGTTTGCGGTAGTTTTCGATGTATAATGAGATGTGAGTTCGATGGCCCTTCCAGAAACGTAAGACTTGTCGAGTCGTTTCCATGCACTTAACTTCCAGCAGCTACCGTCATACAGGA